CGGTTTAGTGCCGCTTGCGGCTCAGGATGTGATCCTGGGGACCTGGGGTCGAGTCCCCCATCAGGCTCCTTGCAGGGAGCCTCCTTCTCCCTCTGACTGTGTCTCTGCCTCTCTCTGCGTGTGTCTCTCATGAATAAATAAATAAAATCTTAAAAAAAAAAGAAAGTATTATAAATGATCAGATGTTGAACTTCTCCTTCATTCTGACACTTTTTCAACTAACTGAGCTATCTCAGCTACCCTAGATGTTGAACTCCTTAGAAATACCAGCAGCTAGTTTTGAATGGTTTTGTTATTCATGCTCTGGTTTAATAACAATCTCTTTCCAAATCTGTTGATGAGTAATATTAAAAAAATCAATAAACAAATCAATTTAAAAAGGGTAAATGGTTGTGATTTCCTATTGGGGTGGTCAGTTTGCTTTATTCAATTTCTTATCCAGAAGCCTCTATGAATATTTTCATTACCTAATCTTACTTGAATGCATCTAACATGGTTAAATACAACTTTTCATAGATGATTTCTTTTTTCCCTTGCTGAGCTATTTGCCACTTTTGTAAGCCAGAGTCATAAATCTTTGCAACTACAAAGATAATTCTTCTCTAGAATGTCATCCAGCTTATCTCTCACAGGATTAAACATTGCTTCACAGTACCAGTTAGATAAAAGGAGACAGTCTTCCTTTTAAAAACCAACTCTGCAGGTCACAATGTGGGTCCAATAGGACAAGTGGAGCCTGGATGGAGTAAACGGTTTCCAGAGGGAATGAAGCACTTTGTGGGATTGCGCTTTCAATTATAATCTGATGACTAATACCTAAAAGTAGCAAACAAGCCCCTAGAGTTCAGAGATCCACACTGAATTTTGATGGTGAAAACATGTCTTATGCTCTATTATTCCCTAGCAATAGAGGAGTTTTTCTATTCCTGTCCATTTTCTCTCTGGTACAGAGAGAAATAGAATTGCATAAGTCATCTCTAAAGTGTTTGAATATAGACTTCTGCTTTAAACCTAAGTTTATAAAACACAGTGAGATATAAAATATTTAATTTAAATTCTCTTCAACTTGTGCTGTCAGTTTATATAAAACCCTCCATTGCTGTACTAAAGTTCATGACTATTTTAATAGGTAAATATAACCAATAAATGATGCAATGCTTTTATTTAGAAGGACAAAGTTATCTGGATTAGTTCTCTAAATTGTCAACATTTAACAAAATCATTTATTGCTTTCTTCTTTTTCAAGGAAAGAATTAGAAAACTAATCCTCAGCTAAAAAAGCAAATATTTTGGAATATAGCAGTGAATGAAAGAACATACATTCATCAAGTGCCTTTGCATGGTGCCAAACCCTGAACTAGGTGCTTCCTGTTGGCCCATGCGTTTGATGGGCTACTCTACATCTGTGGTGTTTCCTTGTCTTATGGGAATTTAATAAGTGTGCTGGGGAGGAAAACCCTCAAATTTCTTAAAAAAGGTATATCAAACAAAAAAGAATATTGAGAAGGGCAATCAAATGGAAACTTGCTCACAGTATAGGATTATGATTAAAAAAGAAGAGGTAACCAAAACATATATGCTCATAGATGATGGTTAACAAAAAGCAGGGATTGTTCTTCATGATATAAGACTGAACTAGGTAAGAAGTCTGGAAAGACAGATCTAGTAATAGTAATCTCTATGTGGGAGGAGTTACATTTTTATTTTATTTATTTATTTTTAATTTTATTCATTTATTAGATTTTATTTATTTATTCATGGGAGACACACACACACACACACACACACACACACAGAGAGAGAGAGAGAGAGAGAGAGAGAGAGAGGCAGAGACACAGGCAGAGAGAGAAGCAGGCTCCATGCAAGGAGCCGGACTCGATCCCGGGTCTCCATGATCACGCCCTGGGCTGAAGGTGGCGCTAAACCGCTGAGCCACTTGGGCTGCTCAGAATTACATTTTTAAAAAGTGATTTGAAGTCATGGGAACCTGGATTCAAGTCCTGACTTCATCACTGCCCATCTGTGTGATGTGGGGCAAGTTATCCAACTTCTTGAGGCTTGGTTTATGATCTCTAAATTGGAGACAAGACTATTTACATCTCCCTGGGTGGTTCTGATTAAATCAGACATTGCATTTAAAGTGCTGAGTCCCTAGAGTATCATAAGCAATCATTTAACGTTCACTATTATTTTTACTATTGTTACCTATATAACTTAAGAAAACTTCTACCTGCATTTGACAGAAAAGAATCTTTTATGAACTATAAATTAGATTTAATTGCATATTAACACAAATAATGGCAGATTGAAACAGAAGTACAGAACTATCAACCTATCTGCTTCATATGGTTTCATCTATTCCATATTTTTTTTTTATTTATTTATTTATGATAGGCACACAGTGAGAGAGAGAGAAAGAGGAAGAGACACAGGCAGAGGGAGAAGCAGGCTCCATGCACCGGGAGCCCGACGTGGGATTCGATCCCGGATCTCCAGGATCGCGCCCTGGGCCAAAGGCAGGCGCTAAACCGCTGCGCCACCCAGGGATCCCTCATCTATTCCATATTTGAATCAACACTGGACTTATGTGACTTTGGCACATAAAGAGTATTTGGGAAATATCTATAAATTTGTAACATTTTAAGTGATTTAAGATAATGTATTTATATCTAAAAAGTTTATCTCAAAAGAACTGTGTTAGTAATATCTAAGAAGTTTAATTAATTACCAATGCACTTAACAAATATTTTTGAGAAGTTTTCATAACCAAGATAGAGTGCTTGGCACTGACTGACTTGAATAAAACAAAACTTCGTCTGTTGCCAGGTTATTTAAAGACTCACTCTTTTTGCATAAGTGTGTTTCCTAAGGATTACATTCTACAAATAAATGTTTTCTAATACTTACAACTAACTTAACTTATTCACATACACCAAGGTTTCACAACTTTAAAATTTCTGGTGTCTTTGAGGATAGGTAAACTGTTAGTGCTCTATCAGTAAATATAGAGAACATCAATAGGCCATGGACAGTTTAAATTTTTTTTTTTAAAGGTTTTTTATTTATTTATTTACGATAGTCACAGAGAGAGAGAGAGAGAGGCAGAGACACAGGCAGAGGGAGAAGCAGGCTCCATGCACCGGGAGCCCGACGTGGGATTCGATCCCGGGTCTCCAGGATCGCGCCCTGGGCCAAAGGCAGGCGCCAAACCGCTGTGCCACCCAGGGATCCCGGCCATGGACAGTTTAAAAAAGAAAAGATTTATTTATGCCCAGGGTTAACATTCAAAAATATCACATTTGTTGATAATTTCCAAAACTGAACGATCTAGCTCCTACAGAAAAGTATTTATGGGAATATAAATTTTATCCATAAGAAAAAGAACCTTTAAATTTGTGTTAATGTATGATTATGATTAAACACACTTCTGTTTCATATATTTCTCTCCAAATACCTACTGCTTACATAAATGTCTTCTAGTATCAATGACCATGAGCATGTGACAAATTCATGTAGTGTGTGTTTAATAAAGAAGGAACATCTAATGAAAATCTAAAGATAAATTTCATCCTATTTGATATGCTATATAATAAAAACATCATGTACTTGGAAATAGTTGCTTCAAGGTAAGAGTTTGGAACAGTGGAAGGCTTAAATTTAAAATGTACCTAGTGAAATAAAGTATATTCTTTGTTATAGAATCCCTGGTTTTCAGCGTCAGGTATACCTGTTGATTTACCAAAGAACAGTCTTTCTGCATAGCTTTTCTAAGGAATTGCTTTAAAAAAATTTATAAGTGATACCTGTTACCTAAGTTCAACTTTGGAAAATAGTGCATTTACTCTTCAAAAATTTTAAGAGATCTCTTTGAGAACTCTAAATATTAAAATCAGTAAAATAATCTAATAGATCCGTATAAGAAAACACATTCAACAATTAGATTCTCAAGTAGATCAGAATATAAGATAATATATGCAATTACACTCAAAATACATACGAAGTTGTAAGAGTAGTAAAAGCTCTCTGGATTATTTGGTTGTTTATTTTACTAACTATGTGAAAGGCAAGGTGTTTGTGCTAAGATCTGCAGAGCACCATAAGAGAGACCATTTCTGTGGTGAGACCAGGGGGAAGCTATGAGGATGATATACTTAATACCAGATGTGCCAATCCAAGGACACTCCCAACACCCTTGCAACGGTACACCTAGTCTGCTGTCATTATTAAAAGTCTACGTAGGCACTGGTACATGAGTAGCCATGTAATTATCTTAATAAACAATCTCACAATCAAATGTGACTCATGTGAGTTAAACAATGGTTTTCAGGATTGGGTCAGTTTTCACGGGTATAAAAGTAAGATCTAAAGAAATTATCAACTGTTTTGGTAAAGCTCTAAGTATAGAGAATAGAATCAGCACTCTACTATATTATAAGAGTTTATTATGATTAACAGTGAAAATCTGAATAGGTAGGTTCATTTTCATATTTCTGATACAATCAGAAAAATGATTATAGTAGTCGGCACTAAGCATCACAGAAAATCATAGAATACATCATAAATATGCCAAATTACCTAATCGATAAATAATTTACATATGATTCTTACCTATAATAGAACTTAACTTTTACTGTTTATCTGTATTAACTCTGATAGCATACCTTGTAGAGTCAACACCGAAAGGTATGAAAAAAAATTTAAGTGTTCATTCATTACTATATGGTTTTACAATAATGTTCCCAAGTAAGTAAAAGTACTTGATGAGCTAAATGCATATGTGGAGCTTAATATCAAGCAACAGTCTATCTGGCATCAGTAACCAAGCAATTATGAAATGGAAAGTACATCTTGTACAAGCTGACAGACCCATTAAATCAGGAGAGCTGTGGGCAGACATACTGACACTGCAAGAATTACCAGAAAGCATTAATTTCAGCATTAATAAAATGGCAGTAAATAGATGACAGCTGCCAGATGAAGTAAGAAATGAGGTTACTGGCCTTGTTAAGCTCGCGTCTGATTTTCTCAGGCACAAACTGATCGAGGTAGCGTCTGAAGTGAAGGGCATCGATGGCGACAATTTCAGTGCCTCGCCGCTGCCAGGCATCCCTAGGGCAGGACAGAAAGGGTAGGATGATGACTAGGGAAAGACACTCACAAAATAGAATCCTTGTGAGGTGGGGTTTCTGAGACTTTGGCAGGGTTAAAATATTAGAAACAAACCAACAAACCAGTAGCTATAGGTCTTGGCAAAATAAGAGAGCAGAAAACACCATTTTATTTTTAGATTTCAAGGCATACATATTATGGACTACTAGACATTAAACAGTAAAATGAATAATTATCAAGTGATGACAAAAATGACATATTGTAAACAGGTACATCATTTACATTGAGTCTCAGAAATTAAAGGATTTGGGGGCAAACAAAAGGAACTTAGTTCTTTCTTGGTTCTCCTCTCATACTAAAGACATGGTATTTGTATCCTGACAAAAACCAAAAAGAGCTCACTCCTCCCTTGCTTTCGAAGACCTGCTCTTTGGGTCCTGGGCTTATAATATTGCCATCTATCATCCAAAACATAATCCTAAGAACTGTTACAAAAGATGTGTCATGATTCAGAAAACATTCTACCTACCGTGCTCAATTGCTGACAGTGTCAAACTATTTTTAAAAAGACTAAGACAGTAAAGCAGACAGTAACACATTGCCTGTGGAAATGGGAAAGACTGGGTAAGATGGTTTTGGAAAAGTGAAATTCCAAATATTCCAATATTCCCTTTATAGACTTCGATAAATTCGATAAATTGACATGCCTAACAACTTTGCACTGAATTTCTTTTTGTATTTTTTCTCCAAATTTTATTTTATTTTATTTATTTTATTTAATAAATTAATTTTTTATTGGTGTTCAATTTACCAACATACAGAATAACACCCAGTGCTCATCCCGTCAAGTGCAAATTTTAATTTAAATTCCAGTTACTTAAATATAGTATAATATTAGGTTTAAGATGTAGAATTTAGTGATTCATTACTCACATACAACACCCTGTGCTCATCACCACAAGTGCACTCCTTAATCCCCAACACTTGTTTAACCTATCCCCCCTTCTCTCCCCTCCAGTAACCCTCCGTTTATTCTCCATAATTAAGAGTCTGTTTCCTAGGGTGCCTGGGTGGCTTAGTTGGTTAAGCATCTGCTTTTGCTCAGGTCATGATCTCAGGGTCCTGCAACTGAGCCCCATTTGGGCTCCCTGCTCAGCAGGGAGTCTGTTTCTCCCTCTCCTGCCCCTCCTACTGCTTGTGCACTTTTTTTTTTTAAAAAAGAGTGTTTTCTTTTTTTCTCAAGATTTTTATTTATTTTTTTCATGATAGAGAGGGAGGCAGAGATGTAGAGGGAGAAGCAGGCTCCCTGTGAGGAGCCCAATGTGGGACTTGATCCTAGGACCCCAGGATCACAACCTGAGCCAAAGGCAGACACTCAACCACTGAGCCACCCAGGTGCCCCAAAGAGTCTGTTTTCTGGTTTGCCTCTTTCTCATCAGCTCATGTTCATTTGTTTTGTTTCTTCAATTGCACCTATGAGTGAAATCATATGGTATTTGTCTTTCTCTGGCTGACTTATTTCACTTAGTATCATATTCTCTAGTATTCTCTAGCTTTATCTATGTCATTGCAAATGTCAAGATTTCATTCTTTTTATATGTCACATCTTCTTCATCCTATGATTCAGCAATTGCACTACTAGGTATTTACCCAAAGGATACAAAAAAACGGATTCAAAGGGATAAGTGCACCCTGATGTTTATAGCAGCATTATCAACAACAGCCAAATTATGGAAAGAGCCCAAGTGTCCAATGACTGATGAATGGATAAAGAAGAAGAATGGATAAACAATGGAATGTTATTCAGGTATCATTTCTATAAAAGTTTATCCCTGGCAAACCAATTTCATGAGGAAGCAAATAGGTCAAAGTATCAAAATATTTTTCAGTAAGAAATAGGGAGACAGGAACAGCAAAGTTTATTGCAGATCCTGCTGTTAATCATTCTATGGCACTAGGCAAACTGTCCTAATATGTTTCCCCATCTACTTAATCTCACAGAAAAATTAAGGATAAATAAGCTGGCTAAAGGCTTTCAGCTCTAATAAGAACCTATCTAAATAAGCTGGGCCTTGAAAGTTAACCTCCACTGACTGTTTATATTTGCTGACAGGTAAAGAGCAAGAGTTCTGCCCTTCTTCTTGTCTTAGACTTATGGCTTTTATTTTTCTGTTCTTCCCTTTTGTGTATGGAGATGGTATTACTAGTATTACTAGTATTACCTATAGTATACTAATATATATACTATACTAGTATACTAATGAACCTGTTATACTGAATGATTAACAGCAGGATCTGAAATAATAGATGGGAGACAGAATGTACTAGGTCAAGCCCACATTCCTTAGCTTTTGGTCATGCAATACTCAAGTCAGAAACGAACTCACCTTTCACTCCCATCTTCATGACTTCGGGCCCAACGATACGTTTCAGCATAGCCTGTGTATTCACTGTACTGTTCAGTACCTGAAACAAACAATCTGCCATTATTCTTCAGAGGGATTTCTCTTAAAAGCTGCATGTTCTAAATTAGGGTATTTTTAAAAGATTTTATTTAATTGAGAGAGAGAGAGAGAGAGAGAGAGAGATAGCAAGAGAGAGCACGAATGGGGAGGAAAGGAAAGCAGGCTCCCCAGGGCTCTGGGATCATGACCTGAGCCAAAGGCCGACGTTTGGTCAACAATTCCTATGACCAACTGAGCCATCCAGGCACCCCTAAAGGGTCTTCTAAAAAAAAAAAAGAAAAAAGAAAAAGATATTACTATTTGAAGAGGGAGAGAGAGAGATGGGGGAGGAGGTGGAAGAACGGGAGCGGGGGGGGGGGAGAGCGAGCGCAACAGAGTGCACACAAGAGGTGGGAAGGGCAGAAGCAGACTCTTCATTGAGCAGGAAGCCTTATGTGGCCCATCCCAGGGCCCCCAGATCATGACCTGAGTGGGAGGGAGACGCTTAACCAACTGATCCACCCAGGCGCTCCCTAAAGGGGCTTTGTTAATAAACATCTATCTGGAAATACCTGTCGGCAAATGTCAGTTGAAAAAAAACCTCACCGGTCTTAATGACTTATTTTCCATAAAGAAAAAGATGACACCTATAAAAGCCACTGCAATATTTATCATAATAAGGGAATAAATGTCTCAATAGAGAGAATGAAATATGCTCTGTCATATTAATGTCTTTCATGAATAGTGCACAGATTGTTTTATAAAGGTCCAATGTCTTCAATATCAGTAATCTGATGGTAATATTTAGTTTGTATTGTTGAGAAAGCAATTTAACATAAAAACATTCACTGCTAAGAAAGGTATCATTAAAATTAAATCTATTAACATGCAAGTTACTTCAAGGGGCTTTGTAAAACCAGAATATTGTGACATGAGAAGGGGGGCCTCCCCTTTTTTCCCCTGGAAAAAGCACAATTAAAATACATCTGATAAGAACATGTACCAAGCGTACCACATAACAAAGATTTCTACCTTTTTAAAAGTTTTTATTTATCTAAGTGATTTCTACACCCAATGTGGGGCTTGAACTCACAACCGGGGATCAAGAATCACATGCTCCTCAGACTGAGCCTGTCAGGTGTCCCCAGAGATTCCTACTTCATCAGACCTGGCCATACCAGGGGTGTTCCACTGGTATGTGTTCCACTACTTAACTAAATAAAATCATTCCAATTCCTATGGTCAACTCAATAATCACTTAACTTTTCAAGAATCAACAAAACAGTAAAATGAAAACCTGAAAACCCTGAGCAAGATAATACTTTTCACATATAAAAAGAAATTTAAAAAAAAGAATAAACATGATAACATTGACAACAAAGATTAGTGACTTTTTTTTTCACTGCAATTGCTCTAATTTTGCCAGTAAATAAAATACAAGCAGACTCACTTTTTCAGACAGCTGGAACACTATTAAAATGACCACTCATGCAGTAAAGGTCCAATACTGAAGATATTTGTGACAAAGACTTAATATTTTGGGGGAAAATGATACTAGAATACATACAGTATTTACAAAAAATGTAAATTTAGAGAAACAGAAAACAGGAGCACCTGGCTGGGCTCAGTCTGAGAAGCATATGATTCTTGATCTCAGGGTTGTAAGTTCAAGCCCCACCTTGGGTGTAAAGATTACTTAAACTTTAAAAAAAAAAAAGTAAAAAAAAAAGTTTAATAAAAATAAAAAGAACACAAAATCAAATCATGACATGCTGAATATGAACAGTCAGTTCTTCATCCAAAAGCAAACTAATTTCGGTTTTAGGGTCAGAATAACTTCTTACATGTTACTTAAACAACTTGAAGCTATTATACACAAAGATACTAAATGTAATGAACAAGACTGCAAATGGCCTCTACATTTTAACTATTAATTCACAGATGGACAACAAAGAAACATGTCAAATACTACATGAAGTTATAATCAGCAACATTCACACTATGGGAAACTCTACAGGACCAACAGTCTGGGCTGCTTACAAAAAACCTTGTAAGGAATGAAAAAGAGAGAGGAACCTATAAATTAAAAGAAACAAACATGAAAACACTAATAAGAAAGTAAAAGTAGTTATATTAATACTGGATAAAATAGACTTTAAGTCAAGGAGTATTATGAAAGATAAAGACGAACACTTCAAAATGATAAAAGGGGGAAAAACAAAAACAAAACAAAAATGATAAAAGGGGCGCAGCCCCGGTGGCCCAGTGGTTTAGCGTTGCCTTTGGCCTGGGGTGTGATTCTGGAGAACCGAGATCGAGTTCCACATTGGGCTCCCTGCATGGGGCCTACTTCTCCCTCTGCCTGTGTCTCTGCCTCTCTCTCTCTCTGTGTTTCTCATGAATAAATAAATAAAATCTTAAAAAGAATCAAAATGATAAAAGGGTCAATTCATCAGAAAGACATAGTAATTATGCTTTTATTTTGATTTCACATTTGAAAAATTAAGTAGTGAAATCCATCACACTAACAGATTAAAGAACCCCATGTAATCATAATAAAAGTTGCAGAAAAGATAAAATTCAACCTACCATGATTAATACTCTCAGCAAAGCTGAGAATAAAAAAAGGAACTTTCACAATCTGATTAAGGACCACTACATAAAAACTTACAACTAACTTCATACTCAGTGATGAAAACATTCCACCTAATTCAACACTGTAGTGAAGTCCTTGCCACTGCAATAATGAGAAAGAAGGAAAGGAAAGAAGGAAAGGAAAGGAAAGAAGGAAAGGAAAGGAAAGGAAAAAGGAAAGGAAAGGAAAGGAAAGGAAAGGAAAAGGAAAGGAAAGGAAAGGAAAGGAAAGGAAGGAAAGGAAAGGAAAGGAAAGGAAAGGAAAGGAAAAGGAAAAGGAAAGGAAAGAGGAAAGGAAAGGAAAGGAAAGGAAAGGAAAGGAGAAAGAGGAAAAGAAGAAAAGAGGCATAAAGAGTATAAACTTGGCAGATCCTACCTTAACCAGGTCATGATATTTAATATCACAAACACTGGGACAAAGTGGTATTACTATTCTCCTCAAAAGATAAACTAGAGCAGGACACATAGATTCAGTGGGATTCCTGCCAAAATGAATAAACTGTATCTAGTTACAAAGAAACATTCAGAAAAAGTCAGTTATATTTCTACATTGTAGCAATGAATGATCAGAAACTGGAATTTAAAGAATACATTTACAATTACAACAAAAAATATGAAATACTTAGGGATAGGGACGCCTGGGTGGCTCAGCGGTTGAGCCTCTGCCTTTGGTTCAGGGCATGATCCCAGGATCCGGGATTGAGGCTCATATCAGGCTCCCTGCCTAGAAGCTGCTTCTTCCTCTACCTATGCTTCTGCTTCTCTCTGTGTGTCTCTCATGAATAAATAAATAAAATCTTAAAAAAAAATATTTAGGGATAGACCTAAGCAAATATAAAAGAAATATACAGTGAATATACAGTGAATTATACTGAATATATACAGTATAACATATTACTGTGAGAAATTAAAGATGACTTCCATAAACAGAGATCTCTCATTCATGTGTCAAAGACTAAATACTGTTAAGATGTTAATTCTCCCCAAATTGATCTATAGATTCAAAGCAGTCTTAATTAAAATTCCAGCAAGCTTTTTGGAGGTATTGACAAACTGATTCTAAAATTCACCAAAACAACTCTGAAGAACAAAGTTGGAGGGCTCACACTACCTGATTTCAAGAATCATTATAAAGCTACAATTAACAAAACAAAGAATAAAAACAAGTCACTGTTAAGATCATGAAAAGATGTACCACATATGATAAAAAGATACACCACATCTGATAAAAGACCTGTATCCAAAGTACATAAAACATTTTCAAAACTCAATAATAATAAAAAAATAACCCAATTAAAACATTGGCAAAAGATGGTTTCATGTATGTAGTCACATGTCAAAACTTACCTAACTATACACTTTAAATATACAGTTTATGATGTCAATTAAATCTCAATAAAGCTGTTTTAAAAACGTAACTATCTCACTAGACTGCCAGCTTCTCAAGAAAGGGATTATAAGTCATTAACATACGTGCCTACATCAGCATTTTCTAACACAAGAATACAGATGCAGGGGGTGCCTGGTGGCTTAGTTGGTAGAGCATGCAACTGTTGATCTCTGGGTCATAAGCTCAAGCCCCACATTGGATGTGGAGCCTACTGAAAACAAAAGACTGTAGAAGCAATTAAGTACTTGCTGCATAAACATAATAATTAACAAGTGAAACAGGGAGAACATTGTATTAACCGAGGTTAAAATTATAATTCCAGAAAGACTTAATCTGAAAGTACTATGTGGCTGACACATAAAAAAAAATTCACATTTATAAAGACAGCCTGGCATGGTAAAAAGGAGCACCATACTGAGATTAGGAGACATGAGGGACCCAAAGTGAATCCTTAAATAACCAAATCTCTCAGTGGACTTTATTTCATCATCTGAAAATCAGGCTTGTTAATAATTCTTATCTTGTTAACTTCATAGAATTACTTGGAAAGCTACAGAAAAAGAATTTAAAAGTCTTCAAAACCATAAAGTGGTTAGTATCAGTGTCATCAGACTTACCTTAAAGGGAGGTGGAGAAACCAAAGATACATGATTTCATTTATGTGAGGTTTAAAAGCAACCTGGTCTAGTGACCTGACTAGAAATAAAGATAGTCAGGAATAGTCCTGTTCCTTTCTATTTTCTGCCAGCAGTGGACAAGCTTCATTTTAATTATTTATAAAAAAGCAAAACAAAACAAACTGCCTACTCTGATCTCTTAACTATGAAAACAAATACCTTTTCAGAGAAAAGTGGTTGAAAAATAAAAAGTAGCAATGATCATGTTTCTATTTTAGCTTAGGATGGTTTTAGTCTTTCCTAAGAGAAATGAGATTAATTTCCTCAAGTATGGGAAATCTAAAATGCACACACAGATGCTTTTGCTCTAAACAAATTAAA